AATATGCCAGTAGTTCACAAAAGTGGAGCCATATTCATATTCAAAAATAATTTGGACCAGGTAGGAAATACCTTATTTACATTATTGTAACTATCATGTTTTATTCTCTTCAACCAATGTATTTTTCTTTTCAAATATTGGTCTCATATAGATACAATTGTTGAGGTTTACTATTTTGTGCTATTTATAGGAATTGCTAAAAACAGTTCAAAAGAGAATCAAATTAGAATTAATTCAACAAACCATTATGTTGACAGAGCTTGTCTCTTCAGAGGAACTAAACAACTATTTCATTCTATTTTAAATTTATTATTTAAACTATTTCAAATTTATTTTAAATTAGCAGTATTATAGAATCATAGACGTGTAGGACTGGAAAGGACCTCAATAGATCTAGTCCAGTCCCCTGCACAAAAAGCAGGATTAAGCAATAACTAGACCGTTCCTGACACGTGTTTGTCTAACCTGTCCTTAAAAACCTCCAATGACAAAAATTCCAAAACCTCCCTATGCAGTTTGTTCCAGTGTTTAACTACCCTGACAGTTATAAAGCTTTAAGCTTTAAGCCCACTGTTTCTTGTCTTATCCTCAGAGTTTAACAAGAACATTTTTTCACCCTCCTCCTTGTAACAATGTACTTGAAAACAATCCTGTCCCCTCCTCAGTCTTCTCTTCTCCAGACGAAACAAACTCAATTTTTTCAATCATTCCTCATAGGTCATGTTTGTTGCTTTTCCCTGGACTTTCTCTAATTTGTCCACATCTTTCCTGAAACATGACACCCAAAACTAGACACAGTACGCCAGCTGCCTAATCAGTGCAGAGTAGAGAAGAAGAATTACTTCTTGTGTCTTGCTTACAACACTGCTTCTAATACATCCCAGAATGATATTTGCTTTTATTGCAACACTGTTACAGTGTTGACTCATGTTTAGCTTGTGATCCACTGTAACCTCCAGATCCCTTTCCGTGGTACTACTTCCTAGGCAATCATTTCTCTTTTTGTATGTGTGTGACTAATTGTTCCTTTCTAAATGGAATACTTTGCATTTGTCCTTATTGATTTCATCCTATTTACTTCAGACCATTTCTCCAGTTTGTCCAGATAATTTTGAATTTTAATCCTATCCTCCAAAACACTTGCAGCTTGGTATCATCCACAAACTTTATAAGTTTCAGAGTGGTAGCTGTGTTAGTCTGTGTCAGCAAAAACAACAAGGAGTTCTTGTGGCACCTTAGAGACTAACAAATTTATTTGGGCATAAACTTTTGTGGGCTAAAACCCACTTCATTAGATGCATGGAGTGGAAAATACAGTAGGGAGATATAAATACACAGCATATGAAAAGATGGGAGTTGCCTTATCAAGTGTGTGGGGGGGTATCAGTGCTAACGAGCCAGTTCAATTAAGGTGGAAGTAGGCTATTCTTAACAGTTGACAAGAAGGGGTGGAAATCACTTTTTTAGTGCTAATTAGGCCAATGTAATCAAGGTGGCCCATATCAAACAGTTGACAAGAAGGTGTAAGTATCAGCAGGGGGAAATTAGTTTTTGTAGTGAGCCACTCCCAGTCTTTATTCAGGCGTAATTTGATGGTGTCCAGTTTACAAATTAATTCCAATTCTGCAGTTTCTCATTGGAGTCTGTTTTTGAAGTTTTTTTGTTGAAGACTTGCTACTTTTAAGTCTGTTATTGAATGTCCATGGAGACTGAGGTGTTCTCCTACTGGTTTTTGAATGTTATAATTCTTGATGTCAGATTTGTGTCATTTATTCTTTTGTGTAGAGATTGTCCGGTTTGTCCAATGTACAGGGCAGAGGGGCATTCCTGGCACATGATGGCATATATCACATTGGTAGATGTGCAGGTGAATGAGCCTCTGATGGTGTGGCTGATGTGGTCAGGCTGCTGAAGGAAAAGGATGCAGGCTATCTCCAGGGAGCTGCTATAGGCCCTGACTGCAGAGCCAAGGCATGCAGAGCCCCAGATGGATTCCAGGCTGCTGGATGAACCCATAGAGGAGGCTGCGCTGTCAGGAGCTACACTGCTTGAGGACCCCAGAGTCCCAGGGGAACTGTGGACCATTGCTGGCGAAGACAGGGTAGGAAGCAGCCCAGAGGACTTAGACTTTGCTCCACTGGGTGAAACGGGGAACCAGTCAGTGTGTTTTGGGAGGATCCCTGCTGACTCGGTAGCAAGTAATCCTGCAACTCCCAGGACCCTGGGCTGGAGCTCAGAAGAGCAGGGAGGGCCCGAGTCCCCCTATGCTGGGTGCCACCCACCCCTGAGTGGTGCCCCACTTCCCCAATGGGCCAATTGGCCACACCATCCCACAGAGGGGTGTGACTTTACTGACTCCAGCCATTGGGCCATGCTGCCCTGAGTGGAAGGGCCACTCTATTAACTCCAGCCACTAGGCTGTACTACCATGTTTTATAGTAAGGGTCGTCAGCATAGGACCTAACCAGGTGCGTACAGCCTCTTCCCTTTCTTTTGACCACAAGTGACCCGACACTCTGTGAGGGGGTGTACCTACCTTGCAACACTTGATTGATTGCTCCATTATCTTTCCGGGTACTGAAGTTAAGCTGACTGGTTTGTAATTCCCCGCATTGTCCTTATTCCCCTTTTTAGAGATTGGCACTATATTTGCCCTCTTTCAGTCCTCTAGAATCTCTCTTGTCGTCCATGAGTTTTTGAAGATAATGGATAATGGCTCAGATAACGCGTCAGTCAGTTCCTTGAGTACTCCAAGAAGCTCCCTGAGTATTCTAGGAGTATTTTTAGTTAGTTTAGTGCATTGAGATAAGTATAATCATTTGTAGAAACAAGGCTGAGAAGTAAGAAATCCTTGGCAATACTCAAAGTTGCCTCACCACAACTTTTTCATAACCTTCATCAAGAATAGAAGATTAGATACTGATTGAGAACTGGAGAGACTATTATTGTTAAAAGATTGCTTTTTGAACAGAGGTTGAACACACACGTCCTTTAAAGAAATCAACATCATGTCCTCTCAAAGAAGTACTAACAATCTCCAACAACAAAAGATACTGTACTTCCATACTGGAAGATAGGTATTTGGCCACCTAACTCATGTGCAGGACCCAGTTTGGTAGGTGTGCTCAGAGGCTGCCTACTGGATTGGACCTCTCAGGTAAGTTCATACAGGACAGTTGGGGAGAGAGTTGTATTTCTGTTCTGAAGCAGGGTCTTGGTATATGGGTGATCTATTCCATCATGTGATCTACTTCTTGGGTGGTGTCTTTCTTTTGTGAAGGTGATTCTGAGTATGTCAAGAACACTCCACCACAGAAGCAGATTGCAACAACACTGCATACAACTAAATAGAGCATTTCCAACCGAATCACACCTTAATCTCTTCCTCTGTGAATATTTTACCTGCAGAGAACAGTTTATCCCTGCTGTGTTCAGAATGTTGGACTTTACATGGATCTGACTTTGTCTTGACGAAGAAAAGTGGTCAAGTTTAGGCCAAGCTTAGGTAGCACATATTTGCGAAGTTTGACCTAAACTCAACCACCGTTCTAGTGAAGACAAAACCTAGGCATGCTGGAAGGGCTACCTATACTGAAATGCTCCTGGGGTTGTCATGATTATACTATTATTATGTAATACCTCAGGAGATTGTCCCTGAGGTACATATGTGGTCATCCAGCATGCTTTCAGTTTTAGTAGCTCAGCTGGCTTCTTCACTCTTTAATGTGTTAAAAAAAAAAAAAAGTAGCCACCAGGGCTGTCCCTGAAAGCAGAGCCATTCCCAAGATTCAGGCACATATTTACCTTAAAATACTTGAGATTTTCTTGTTCATTCATGTTAATTAAAAGAAAAGTGTGGGCACGAAGGACAAGAATCAGTTACAATTTTCTGGAGAGGTGCGATAGGAGTAACATATATATTTGTGCTGAAGGGACTGGTAGCTAATTTTTTTTCAAGCCTGGTAAAATATGCAGAAAAGAAAATAGGTTCCCAAATGTGATTCCAAATGAACAGGTGTTTCACAATGAGGTGAGCAAGATGAGTCACCATAGGTTTTTGGCAAGGTGAGGCTCCAGAATTCTGCGTGGGTAGTCTTAGGATTGCATAATGGTGCTGGTTTCAGTGACTTTTGGCATAAACTCAGTGAAATTTTATAGAAACCATGTGCAACACTTTAATGAAATCGTGTCAATACAAGTTTTTCTATCTTTGACAAAAAGTATAGAAATTAAATTGTAATTCCATTAAACTCTTCTGTTTTAAAAATGAGCTCAGACTTTAGATGAAAAATAAAAGATTAAATCATTTGATTTACCTAAAAATGACACTTTCATAATGTGACATAATGACATTAATCTGATATGAAGCATATCACTGAAGAAAACAAAATTAGACTTGTAACTGGAAGTCTCCCAAGTAATATTTCAGGAGAATCCCACAGAACATCAAGAAATGAGGGATGGCACACTAAAGCTCTTGTAGGAGGATGCAAGAGTATACTTCCCTGCCCATATTGTGCCTATTCCCTTGTCCCTCAAGTCTTCACTTCTTCCTGAACCCCTACCACACCTCCAAATCCCTTCCCCTACAGCATATACACCTCTCATCCCCCCTCTCCACCCATCACATGGCCAAGCCCTCCTCCCAAGCATACATTCCCCCACCCCTAATCCCTCAATCATATGGCCAGTCCCAGCCTCCCAAGCATACACCCCTCATTCCCCCCACTCCACATCCCCTCCATCCCATGGCCAGCCCCTCTCCCTCAGGACACACGCCTCATCCCCCCCACCATCACATGACCAGTCCCTCTCCCAAACACCCCTCCATCCAAGTTCCCTCAGACACCCCCCCCCATCACTCCCAGACTCCCTCAGAACCTCCATCACCAGCCAACTCTTCCCCCGATCCACGGCCTGCACCCACACCCCGTCTCTCAACCCCCCCCCGCCGCCGCCGCTTCCCTCCAGTCGGCGCCGTCGCGCGGGGACCCGCCCCCCGCCGCTCCTGTCTCCGAGCGGCTCCTCAGCTGACTCAGCGGCGCTTGTGCCCCGGTGACCCCGGCTTGGAGGCGGCGTGTCACGGGCGCTTCCTCCTCCCCGCCCCCGCGGTATCCTCCCGGCGGACCCTCGCCTCGGCAGCGGCGACAGCAGCGCCCGGCGCAGCCCGCGGAGCTCACCATGAAGCGGGGCTACGAGGTGACCCGCAACCCGCATCTCAACAAGGTACCGGGGCAGGTGGGCGGGCGCGCCTGGGCCGGGCGGGCCGCCGCTGAGGAAAGGCCGCGGAGGGGGGTGGGGTTGGTTAGTCCCCGCCGCCCCCGGCTCTGGGCGCGTAACGGGGGGGGGGCATTCCCGGGGGCCCAGCCGCCAGCCCGGGTCCTCGCTGCCGTGGGGGCGGGCACCGGCCTCCTTGGAGGCCGGCAGGGTGGGGGCAGCGGCGCTTGTCCTGTAGACTCAGCACTTGGCAGCAAACTCTGATACTTCCAAGTTCCTGCGGATCAGCTGACGCTTCCTCTGCCGTAGATAACGCCACTGCAGCCCAGGAGACTCTTAATAGAGGCTCAGCTCCCTGCGGTGCCCCCTGTCCCTTTACGAACCTGGGCAAGCCACTTCGCCTCCCAATGCCTCGGCTTGCTCCTTGGGCAAATGAGGCTATTGCTACATAATAGCATTGCCATCAAGCAGAGCAGACATATTTTTTGGCAGACAGGGTAGGAAGCAACCATATGGTAGAAAGTTGATGTTGGTAGAAAGTTCAAATACTGATACGTTTCCATACAAATTCTCTATTCCAACATATTTATTTTACTAGCACTCTGGCTCTGCTCCCAGGGTTGGTTCAGGAGATGTCCATGAGGAAATATAAGTGCCCCTGCCACCTGTCACAATTGCATACTGGTCTTCTTGCTTACCCCCATCAAATGCTGAAGTAGGTTTTGACCTTTGGTAGATGACAAGGAAAAAGATATTTAACTTTCATTTGAGCACATTGTTTCTCATTTTTTGCTTTTCATTTTGTGAATGTATTTGTTCTAATAAGCACATACAATAGCACAATTCAAATAAAAAGTACTTTATTGGCATTACAAGCGGTACAGTTGTTGCTAAAGTGTAAAGGGGACAAAACTCAGAGTAGTTGTCAGAGGTAGATGTGATAAATTAAGTCTCTTGTATCAAGTCTAGATTAGGTCTTCAGAATACTGCATGGGATTGTATCCTTTTGGCGAGTTGTGATATTATTTATTTTAGTTTTGCAATGACTTTTAATGAGGGTTTGTGTTAAAACGCATAAAGTTATATAGTCATATGGCAAAGTGGGGATAGATTGATATAAACTAATGTTTCTCTAGTTTCATTGCATGAATTGACTTATCAGTAAAAATCCTTGTTAGTTAGATGAATAGTCCTTTTTTTAGTGTTGGTCGATCTTGGATACAAAGATTCCACATATTTTCTGTTTTGAATCTACATCTACAGAGGCTTGAGTGAGGTATCTTGGGATCATCTGAAATGAAAGGTGATTAAACAAACAAAACAATCCAAAGAGTGATGAAAAAGGACTTCAGATGTTCCCCAAATGAAATAGAGTAACAGCGTTCATGTAAAAAATCTGAATAACCAAGACAAACAAACCCCCTCAATTTAAGAATGCCATAATTAGTGTGAACGCTAAAATGCCTCTGGTAAAGGCCACTTTTAGGCAAAATAATCCCATCCCTTTTCTGCTCCCCAACTTCACCCAACCCTGAATGAAGAGCACCTCTTTGGCTTTTCAGTGCTAGGCAGGAAGATTTCTATTGGGTTTTCTGGCTGAGACTCTTTACTGTGAATAGAAAAGGAGTACTTGTGGCACCTTAGAGACTAACCAATTTATTTGAGAATGAGCTTTCGTGAGCTGTAGCTCTTGAAAGCTCATGCTCAAATAAATTGGTTAGTCTCTAAGGTGCCACAAGTACTCCTTTTCTTTTTGCGAATACAGACTAACACGGCTGTTACTCTGAAACCTTTACTGTGAATGAAGATTTGTGTTATACAAGTGCAATAACATTTTCAGATTAGTAGTAAAATTTTACTAGACACCTGCTGCACCAACCCAGTTAATACAAACTTTACTTGAGCTGCTTCTGTCCAATTGCAATCTGCTGCCTCTATGTTAGTGAGATAGTGTCTCATAGAATCCTATTCCTGGGTCTGGACAAGAACCCCTCAACCTGCTTCCTGACTACTGGGACAGGCAAGACTGAGAAAAAGACTCTCCTATGGGAGGGGATTCTACAACCTATGTGGCTATATAGATGATTATTAGTGGAGGGGAGAAGAGCAAATGGAGAATTTGTAGGACACTGTCAAAAATGTTGCCAGTTGTGGTGATGGTTTATTATGTAATTGTGTCTGCAAAAGACACAATGGACTGAGACTACCAACTCCTATCGGGAGGACTATTTAACAGACAGCCAATAGTACAAAGTTGAACTTTAAATAATAATAATAAAAAAATAATGGTTCTAAAATACAAAGGAACATATGCAGGAACTTTTCCTGCAAACCAAGGGGCCCTCCCTGAGGTCTGAAATTAACTAGTAGACTTTACATTAAGTTTGATACTTTTTGCGAAACAGAAGTATACAATATAGCTAGCTATATCCATTTATATAAATATTATGTAGTTTACCCTCTATTCATTCAGATTCTTAATTTTTATATTTTGTTAGAAAGTTATGAATGACTCTTATTTACTAGATCAATTTTTTACTTCCGATTTGTATCAAGCTGCATTTGGATGGAAATTGGACTTAAAAACGCACAAAAAGCATTTTAAAATTGTTCTTTATTAGTTAGTTTTTTTCCACATTTAAGTTAAATAAAACTAAGTTTTTCAAAACACACTTTGCATTTAAAACTGATTTATTAAACAAAGGAAATATTATTTGTAATTAGTGATTTGAATGGATTGTTTCTGGTCACCATGGCCCAGATCCACAAAAGAGACTTAAGTGCCTAAACTCCAGTTTTAGGTGCCTATGTCTGAGATTTAGGCACTGCTCTGATCCACATATGCTCCGTTTGGCTGCCAGCTAACCCTGTAGGCTTTTAAACTCCCTCAGCGCCTAAATATCCTCAGTAAATATTCCCGAGGTGCTAGTATTTCCACCTTTGGGCATGTGCAGTGCATTGCAGTCTTGCTCTAGGCATTTGGACGCCTATCTGATGCCCAAGCCCCAGCACAGTCCACAAACTGGGGGTAGATACGTGGAACAGCGCCTGTCTTGCCTGGGGGGTCCAATCTGCTAAGTGTGCTGAGAGCATGCCTAATGTCACACAAAACAGGTCACGGGAAGGGGAAGGGAAAAAGGAGGATTCTCTTATTGCTAGTAACCCAGTGTTAGGGTACTCACCCAGGATGTGAGAGAGCCAGTTCAATTCTCTCCTTTCCCTGATGAGGACAAAGGATTTGAACAGGAACTTCCTACCTAGTGAGTTCCCTATGTGCTGGGCTATGGGGTATTCTGATGTGGGCTTCTCTCAACCAGTAAGCCTGGCAGATGGATATCTTCTCAATAATGTGAAGACCTTGGATGTGCACCTCTTTTTTTTCCACTTATGATATAAATGGTCAAGAAAATAAAAAAAAAATGAGAAAAAATTATTCAAAATCTCCATACTGACCACTAAACCTCAAATATTTCTGATTTTGGGAGCTAGTGATTAAGCACAGTTTTAGGATTCCAATTTACAAGAAAATACGCATAACAATTCTGTTCATAAGATCTAAACAGATCGAATTTAACTGCTGGGAGATTAAAAGATGAATCTCCAAATTTGTGGACATCCTGTGAGTTAATAATAAAGTAAGAGATTTCTTGGGTCTCTAGCATTTACAAATGTATTTGAAAAATGTTTTGTTAATGGTCTAAAACACAAGACAAGTCTTTGGTCAGTACAAAGATTTTTCCACTCACAGATTGAAAATAGGGCTGTAGATATAATTCCCTAAGAATTCACCTCTTACATTTTTATTCAAGACTTCTTCATTTCAGTTGAACCCAAGTATTGTACTTTCTTTTTTTCCTTCTACACCTCAGGCAGTGGAGAGAGCATTTTCTTGCACAATCTAGTTATTATATTATTAATTGCATAGTACAGGGTAGTGTGTCGTCATAATCCAGACCTGGAGAAAATACACTGCATTTTTTTTCAATGTGGAAAAAAAAATCTTAAAAAACTTCAAAGTATGCCCTTGGTTGAAGTCTACATTTTAACAATCCTAAAGCCAATAACTCAGCAAATGCGACCAAGAAGCTTCCCCAAGAGATCCTTGTTCACGTCTTGGGCAGAAAAGAATAGGGTTTCTTATGATGAAAAATGTACAGTTAGAGCAGTCATAGTACATAGCCATAAATCCATCTGTTTATGAAACATTATGCAGTGGATATATTTTGTCAGCTCTTGTCTTTCGTTATTTTGATTTAAAAATCAATAGGTGCTTTTGTGTCCCAGCAGTGGCCTATGTGTTGGTGTATGTTCCCATATGTGATAGACTACATTTTGTTTTAACTGTACATAGGTTTTCGTATAAGAGTAGGACATGTATGAATCCAGAAAAAATAATCTTCACTAAAACAAAGTAAATTATCTGTATAAGAATATAATAATCTCTATACTCTATATTATTGGGCTTCGGAATATGTACTCTGTAGAGTGCTTCCCAGTGTATTGAGTGAGGTATGCCAAGAGAAAACAGAATCTCCTATTACAGAGAAGTCTACACAACAACGTTCTTTAGATTGGTGGATGCTTTCTTCATGCAAAAACAAATGTACAGTCTGTTACCTCATTGTTTTCTTAGCAGCTTTCTTTAGCACTGCCCTACTACTCTTAAAGGTGAACGTGATGTTTAAAAATGATCTTTGCTCTGTGTGTGGAACCCTAGTATTGAACACTGACTTGTTTTAAGCCCTGAAGCCTTCAGCATTTAAATCCTGAAGTTCTCCAAACTGTAATGTAATGTGATACACTTCAGACTCCATTGCATCTTTCGTCCAGGGCACCAAGCTGGTACAACCGCAGCTAATTCACCAGTTGCACTCAGGAGAGGTGTGGAAATCAATGTGGTCCAGCGAAGACCAAATGGAAATCATAAGGTTGACTGGAAAGTCTGGAAGGCCACTAAGTTGTGGAAGGAAGTGTGTGTTTGTGTGGGAGGGAATACATGGAATGAGTAG